GTCTCGATCTCCTGACCTTGTGATCCGCCCGTCTCGGCCTCCCAAAGTGCTGGGATTACAGGCTTGAGCCACCGCGCCCGGCCTAACCACCTGATTTTCTTGGCCAGGACTCTACAACAGTAAGAGAGTTACAAAATCTTCTCCAATGGAGAATGCATTCTAAGCCAGCACACACTCTCAATGCGTGTGCACACACACACACAGTCTGACTACTGGGCCACACAGCCAGGAAGGGTACACCTGGGATTGGAACCGCTACCCTCCCCTCCAGCCGGCCCTGCCCTGCCCAGCTTGTTTTGACTCGGGCGTCCCTTCCTCCCCATCCTCTCTGGCCCTCGACCAAATGGGCTCCCACGTGCTGTTACTGAAAACTCGGTTTGTGCTGCCGTCCTCTCCCCTCCCCCAGATAATTTCCCTAGGAGGAGGTGTGTGCATGAGCTTGAGGGAGGTTTTTAATTAGCTGCACGCAATTCCCACCCTTGCCTTCGGTGAGCCTCTATAAACATTTGCATGTCCATAGAACTTTATTAGCAAGCCACAAAGCCAGGCAGGAAAAACGCACAATCTCTCATTAAGGGGCAATGTGACTAATGACGCATCAAATGAGTAACCATTATTGCACTTAAATCCAAATTAAAAATCCTGCTATGAGACAGGTCGCTCCCTTTGCAGAATGAGATTCCCTAGGATTTCACCGAGGAGGGGAAACAGGAGCTGAAAGCACCTGCTGGGCTTGGTCTGCGAGAGAAGAGCTCGCAGCTAAGGAAGGTGCTGGCCCTTCCTGGGGGGTGGGGGGGTCCACTGCGCTCCCCAGAAACACCCGCCTGCCCAGTCTCCCTCGGGTGGCTCCCTCAGGACCCAGGGAGAAGGGATCTTACACACAGAGCTGCCAGCTCAGAGCTGAACCAAGATTTCCCGAATCCTTAACATGGTGGCCCCTTCCACTCTAGCCAGGCGCAATGCACATCACCCACTTCTAGGGCTTCCAGAGGGCAGCACGAGGGTCCTGGACTAGGGAGGAAGAGACCCAGGAGATTGCAGGGCCCCTTTCCCACTGAGGACTGCAGTTCAGGACACCCCCAGCCTATATCCAGGGCCTTGACTGCAACCTTGCCCGACTTGGGACCCAGTGGGGACTCGCTGGGTGAACTCCAGTTGTTCCCTGGCCCTCTCTGGGCCTCTGCAATGCAGCCCCGCCTCCTCCCCGGCAGCGGCTCGGGGGGACTCCATCCTTCACCTTCCTGACTTGCCGGGAATTCCTGCCTGCAAAGCTGCAGGGGGCCTATGTGTGCCACCCTAGGGTCACCCCTAGGGAGCATTGTCAGAGGGGGTGCTGAACAGAAGGAGGATGAGACCTGGAGCCCACCCACTCCAGCCTGCCCACCTGAGGCTGCCTGTCTGGGAAGATGGGTGGGGTGGCTGCGGGTACGAAGCCCCTTTCTGGGCTGTGCTCAGGGGAGCTGCTCTCACCCTGCTTCCTGCTCCCAAAGAGCTTTTGGGCCCTCAAATGTGCCTTCTGCTGCATCGCTTATGTGTCTAAGAGGCACAAACAGAGCACCTCCTGTATGCCAGGCACAGTTCTGTGCCCCATCAGGGAGGCAACAGCTAAAGGGGAGTGAGGGCTGGGGGTGGGGGTAGAGGCAGGCACTGAAGAGGGGGTGCCCTCTGTCCCGACCTGGCCAGCCTGCCCTAGTGACCACTTGGACCACCAGCCTCAGGGCCCCAGGCTGATTCATACGGAATGCCCTGGGAAGGAGTCCCCTCAGAGGGCCACCTGGTGCGACTCTGGACCGGTGTCTTAGTGCTCGGTGCAGGGACGGGTGGGCGCCTGCGAGGCTCCTCCTTCCTCAGCACCCTCCAGGATGCCCGACAGGTGAGCATGGGCCCTTGGCACCGTGTGGCACAGCACAGCTCGGCTCGGCTGGACAGCCAGGTGCGGCCAGGGTCCAGGACCACAGTGGACAGCAACGCAGCCACGCCCCCTTCCCCCTCCCAAATTTAGGTCATGCCAATGATTGCGTCTGACTTAGGAGACACTGTGGGGCTCAGGGAGAGGACTCCAACACAGGCCTCCCCAGCCCAGCCTCTCCTGGGTCAGGTGCCCTCCTGCTTCTGGCCTGTGGGGGCTCCAGGCGATCTGTCACAAGAGGCCAGTTTTACCCAGCTGAAGAGCTTGAAGGTGCCATCTGCAGGGAGGGGCCTATGTCCACCCTCAGAGTAATGGGAACCTGGGCAGGAAAACGCCACAGGAGCCCAGGTCCCGTGCAGCTCCTGCAGGCGCTAACAACGCCTCTGCCCTGAGCTTGTGCTGAGATGGTCTCCAGATCCCCATGGTCACTGCAGTCCCCAGGCTGGGACGGAGTCCAGGTTGGAGGACAGGAAGCTGGAGAGAGCTCCTTCCAGTTCACATTTCCCGCCAGTCCCACTCCCACAGATGAGCCATCATCCCAGGAGCTACGGAGGAGAGAGGTGAGACCCGGGGGCAAGGCCAGAGCCCAGTGACCACCCCATCCCCAAGACCTGGTGACCTCCCTCCAGGAAGAGGAAGCACTGTGGGAGCTCCCAGGGTTGGTCAGTGACGCGTCATCAATGGTCTGGGTGCTGAATAGTAAACCCAGGGTCTGAGCGGCCTGTCAGGCTGACACCTCCCCCCAGGAAGTGCTGGAAGACGGTGCACCCTCAGCTGGCTGGGCTGGGGGACCCACCTGGAAGCAGAGACTCCAATGCAAGACTTGGGGAGACCATTCCCCCACCAGCGGCCCCAGCAGCTCCAGGGGCAGCTGGGGCCACAGACTAGCCTG